ACAATTGCTTAAAAGGAGGAGCTTGGTCTTCCTCATAACTCATCCTCCTTAGCAAAACACTTCAGTCTCATCAAACTGAAAAATAATTGACGCCCAACGTGAGGCTCAAAGAGAGAAAAGGTGGAAAAGGAATAACTGCCCTTGTGTGATTTACACGCATTTTGAACCTGTAGGCATCATGATGCTTGGGGTTGTTGCTTTCCTCTGGCACATAACCATGCCAAGATATCTGTCTCATCTGTCGATATGTTTCAGCTCAGATATTAAGACCCTCATTGCGATAAGTACCTTCGAGTTTGTGCATTGGGTTTATGACACAGCAAACTCAACACTTGTGATTTTCATCTGGAATATGTCCTCAAGGATGCACTACTGCTTCCTAAGCTGTTTCCTCTGGGGGTTTAAGGATAATGGCACCCATCCCTATGGAGAAATACAGGGGGGTATATTTGCCCAACCCTTCATCCATTTTCTCCTTGGATCCTGTACAATTGCCTCTGGGAAATTTAAATTCTCCTTAAATGTCAGAGACATTTTACTTTTTGGGCTTTTCGTGCAAGTTTGTGCCATTACGGTATACCTAATATACAAAGCTAGGGCCAGAAATTATTGAGAACATGTCCAGAAGCCTACCCCAGGGGTGGAAAACCTCGAGTGCCATGGGTTATGGGAGGTGTATCAGGGTTTAATTACACTGATACTTTTGGTCTGTGTTTGGCCCAGCCACCTGTGAGAGTTTATCTTTTTCCTGCCAAGTTATGAGAAAACAAGCACTGATAATCGGGAACTTTGTCACTGAAGAGAGCTTCTTGTATAAACTATATCTAATTGCTGTTTTATGATTGACTCATCGTCCTCCAAAGTCGTTTGAAGGAGAAATTGAAGACTAGTGTGATGAAGTAAACCCCTAGACTCATTTGGAAAAGACCTCCCCAGGTGCAGTACGCAGGCACAGGGAAAGCCATGCATGCGCAGAAGAGATATTACTTGCATAACGGGGGGTGGGACTGAAGGCCTCTAGCTAGGTGGTGCTGGCCACACTTGCCCAGGTAGACGTCACCAATTAATTGTATAAAAAGCAGATAGCTTATGTTGGATGGGAAGCTAGCTTCACATCAAGGACAACGTTGCCTTTTCACAGGGACGCCTGCCAATTTGTGAGCCTACTGACTCTCCGAGACTGCAGCTTCTGCTATGGGTGATTCTAGGCATTCTGGGTCAGTAAGATAACTTTATAAGAAACACCTGGGTAATTGGGGAAGTTGTACCAAGGGCTTATTTTCCTCCTCTTTCCCCTTTTTCGGGCTTGTTCATTTTGTTGGCCACCTCTTGGTAATAAATATCAGTTTTTGTTGAGATTTCAACGGTGTCATGGTTTCAGTTTCAGTATGCTCTGAACTCTCCCTAATATAGGAGAATATGGGTAAATTCCTAGAAAGTTGTTCAGCTACTACAACATGGAAGCTCACCCTCGAACAACTCCTAAACCCTACAAAAATAATGAAAGCCGTGAGGGAGAGAGGTCGTGATAGACCCATGGAGAGGCAGCTGGCAGTTGCATGTGGGGCTTTGGCCATTGCCTACCGGAAGCTGCTCGGTAGGGTGCAGTACTTCCAGGGAAAAGGAAAAGACGAAAATAAGATGGCTGATACCATGGTGACTCAGGATAGGGCCAAATCAAAGGGACAGACCAAGTCAATGGAGGTTGCCCCTATCCAAAAGAGGAAATATAAAACCAAATCGGTTCACCCAACTGACGATTATGGGGAGGCAGCACCCTCACAGGCAGCTCGTCCAGAGCCAGAAATCATCACTGAGTCCTTATCGTATAACAACCTCCGGAGCTTATGGGCAGATGTTATTTGTCTCTCAAATGAGCTCATTCTGACCTGGATGATTCGAGTTTGGGACTCTACGGGTGATGCCATAAACCTTGATGGTGATGAAGCAAGGTTCTTGAGGTCTATTGCCCAGGATGTGGGTATCGAGGAGGCGTTCCTGAGAGAATCAAAGCCCTTGTCTCTCTGGACACGGCTTTTGGACAGTGTGATGGAGAGGTTCATTTACAGAGATTCCTTGCAGGTAGACCATTATGCAAAGGGCTGGAAGACCATAGAGGAGGGGATCCTACACCTGAGGGCAATGGCACTGTTGGAGGTACTGTTTGGAAGGGATGGGCAACCCACCAACGATCCTGACAGGGTTAAGTGTACACCACAGATGTGGTGGAGCCTCACACGTATGGAGCCGTCTGCACATGCCAGTTACCTGACAACATTGCAGGCTGGGGAGAAGCAAGAGTCAGTGATGTCTATAATAAATAAACTTTGGTTGTATGACAGTATGATCGAAGGACCACTACAGGTCCACATCTCCACTGTAAAGATGTTGATTAAGGACCTGAAGACACTAACTACAGAGGTGAAAGATAAACAGGAGAGACTGAAAGAGAGGATTGAGGGAAACAGTTTCCATATGGCCCCAGTGAGAACCAGATGCCCTCCAACTAGAGAGAGCGGACAGACCTCACAAACCGAGTTGTGGTATTTCCTAACTGACCATGGAGAAGACATGAGACAGTGGGACAGGAAACCTACCTGTGTCCTAGCAACCTGAGTACAAGAGCTGAAAGAGAGAGAAAAAGGGAAGTCTGTGAAAGTGAGTGCAATACCGGTATCCTGTGGACAGGGATCTGACCCACTAGAAGGTACCTCCTGTCAGTATTCACAGGAAAAAAACTGTGATTGGCAGAACAAAGGTCAGTGTTAGAGGGGCCCTGCCTCTAACCAGGTAGAGGCAAGGGACAACTGTGTCTATTGGACTGTGTGGATCAGATGGCCTGGCACGTCAGACCCACAAGAATACCAGGCTTTGGTTGACGCTGGTGCTCAGTGTACATTAATGCCCTCAGGACATGTGGGATCAGAGACTATTTCCATTTCTGGGGTGACAGGAGGGTCTCAAGAGTTGACCATATTGGAAGCTGAGGTGAGCTTAACCAGGAAGGACTGGCAGAAACACCCCATTGTGACTGGTCCAGATGCCCCATGTATCCTGGGCATTGACTACCTCAGGAATGGGTATTTCAAAGACCCAAAGGGACATAGATGGGCTTTTGGAATAGCTACTGTGGAGACAGAGGTGGCTAAACAGTTGAATTTGTTATCAGGCCTCTCAGAGAACCCTTCTACTGTGGGATTGTTGAAGGTTGAGGAACTGCAAGTGCCAATTGCCACCATAATAGTGCATCGTTGGCAGTACCGAACAAACCGAGACTATGATCCCCATCCATAAGATGATCCGTGAGCTGGAGAGTCAAGGGGTGATCAGCAAGACCCACTCACCCTTCAACAGTCCCATCTGGCCTGTGCGTAAGTCTGATGGAGAATGGAGATTGACTGTGGACTATCGTGGCCTGAATGAAGTCACCCCGCCACTGAGTGCCACCGTTCCAGACATGTCGGAACTCCAGTACGAGCTGGAGTCCAAGGCAGCGAGGTGGTACGCCACTATTGACATTGCAAATACGTTCTTCTCCATTCCCTTAGCAGTAGAGTATAGGTTGCAATTTGCTTTCACCTAGAGGGGTGTGCAGTACACCTGGAACCGATTGCCCCAGGGGTGGAAACACAGTCCCACCATCTGCCACGGACTGATCCAGGCTACACTAGGGAAGGGTGAGGCTCCAGAACACCTGCAGTACATTGATGACATCATTGTATGGGGGGACACAGCAGAGGACATTTCTGAAAAAGGGAAGAAAATCATCCAGATTCTTCTGGGAGCCGGGTTTGCCATCAAAAAAAGTAAGGTCAAGGGACCTGCCCGAAAGATCCAGTTCCCGGGGGTGAAATGGCAAGATGGGCGTTGCCAGATCCTGACAGAAGTCATCGATAAGATCACAGCAATGGCCCCACCGACCAGCAAGAAGGAAACACAAGCTGTTCTGGGTGCCATAGGTTTCTGGAGGATGCATATCCCTGAGTACAGCCAAATCATAAGCCTTCTCTATCTGGTAACCCACAAGAAGAATGATTTCCAGTGGGGCCCTGAACAGCAGCAGGCATTTGAACAGATTAAGCAGGAGATTGCCCATGCTGTAGCCCTTGGGCCAGTCAGGACAGGACCAGATGTGAAGAATGTACTCTATTCTACAGTTGGGGATAAAGGTCTTTCCTGGAGCCTCTGGCAAAAGGTGTGTGATAAACAAAGTCTTGAGTTTCTATAAGTTTTGAATAATAGTTTATTATATGGTAAAAGCAAGCAGCTGGCTGGGTGACAGAAATGGGACCAGTTTCCCAAATCTGCACACCCTTACTACAGGGTACATTTAGTATTTATCTTAGCTACTTCATGCATATTAATTATATCACATACATATACATTCTACAGGTTTTTGCTAAGTATTTAATATGGGTTTTCTTACAACTAAAGCTAAAAGGGTTATCTCTACAACCAGTCATAATTCATGTATTCTTGGACGAACAAGTGCCTAAAAATTTAAAGTTCTACTATATTTCATTCTTAGGATAGTAAGGAGGTTTTAGGTCTCTTGACCTTGTGAGGGTCTGTTTTATTTCTTTATGGGGGTGTAATTAAGTTTTACAATCCGTTTGTTTTATTTTGATGTAATCACCCATTTGTTTCACGAATCATGATTATTTATATATCACAGGTGCCTGGTGAGACCCGAGGTCGCCCACTTGGGTTCTGGAGTCGAATCTACAGAGGATCTGAAGCCAACTACACCCCAACAGAGAAGGAGATCCCAGCAGCTTATGAAGGAGTACAAGCTGCCTCAGAGGTGATTGGCACAGAACAGTTCCTCCTGGCACCTCGATTAGCAGTGCTGAGTTGGATAGTCAAGGGAAAGGCACCTTCTACGCATCATGCCATTGAAGCTACATGGAGTAAGTGGATCACTCTGATCACACAGCACGCCCGTATTGGAAATCCAAATCACTCTGGGATCCTAGAAATCATCACGAACTGGCCAGAAGGTGAGAATTTTGGTCTAGCAGATGAAGAAGAAGGAGAGCAGGTGGTACGAGCTGAGGAAGCCCCACCATGCAATCAACTACCAGAAGAAGAAACATGCTATGCCCCCTTCACTGATGGTTCCTGTCACATTGTAGGAATGAAACGTAAATGGAAAGCAGCTGTATGGAACCCCACATGACAAGCTATAGAAACTACTGAAGGAGAAGGGAAATTGAGCCAATTCACAGAGTTCAAAGCTGTCCAGTTGGCATTGGACATTGCCGAACGAGAGAAGTGGCTAAAGCTTTACCTCTACACTGACTCGTGGATGGTGGCCAATGCTCTGTGGGGGTGGTTGGACAGATGGAAGAAGACCAATTGGAAACGCGGAGGGAAACCCATCTGGGCTGCTGATATGTGGCAAGACATTGCTACCCGGGTAGAGAAGTTAATCATGAGAGTCTGCCACGTAGATGCCCATGTGCCCAAAAATCGAGCCAATGAGGAACATCGCAACAACAAACAGGCAGACCAAGCTGCACAAGTTGAGGTGTCACAGGTAGATCTGGACTAGCAGCACAGAGTTGTTCCTAGCGCGATGGGCCCATGATGCCTCAGGCCATCAGGGCAGAGATGTCACCTATAGATGGGCATGAAAGCGAGGGGTGGGCTTAACCATGGACGCTATTTCCCAGATTATCCATGATTGTGAGACCTGCACTGCCATTAAATAGGTTAAGAGACTGAAGCCCCTATGGTATGGTGGACGTTGGAGTAAGTATAGGTATGGGGAGGCCTGGCAGGTTGATTACATCACACTGCCACGAACCTGCCAAGGTAAGCGTTATGAGCTCACCATGGTGGAAGCCACCACTGGATGGCTGGAGATGCATCCAGTGCCCCATGCCACTGCTCGAAATACCATCCTGGGTCTTGAAAAGCAAGTCCTGTAGCAACACGGCACCCCAGAGCTAATTGAGTCAGATAATGGGACCCATTTCAAGAACAGCCTAGTTACCACCTGGGTGAAGGAGCATGGTTTTGAGTGGGTGTATCACATCCCATACCATGCAGCAGCCACGGGGAAGGTTGAACGGTGTAATGGACTGTTAAAAACCACCCTGAAGGCGTTGCGTGGAGGGACTTTCAAGCACTGGGATCAGCACCTAGCAAAGGCTATATGGTTAGTCAACACTAGAGGCTCCATCAATCGAGCCAGCCCTACCCAGTCAGAGGCCCTTCACGCTGTAGATGGAGACAGAGTCCCAGTGATTCACATGAGGGGTATGTTAGGTAAAACAGTTCGGATCAACCCTGCCTCGAGCAAAGGCAAACCCATCTGTGGGATTGTTTTTGCCCAAGGACCCAGTTGCACATGGTGGGTGATGCAGGAAGATGGAGAAACCCGGTGTATACCTCAAGGGGATCTTATCTTCGGGTGAACTGGTCATAACTCTGTGCCTGTATCTGTATTTGTATTTACGTATTTGTGAATGTGTATATAGGTAGAATAATGCATGTACACACGTAGTTCAAAGGTTTAATTTGATAGAGTGTGGTGGCATGGGAAAGGAAAAAAAATTAGGGGTGGATAATGCCATAGGTTTACTTGTTCTAAAAAAACCAAGGGGGAATTTTTTTCTTTCCCCTGCATGGCTGTAAAAGATGTTGAAGAGGGAGGGAGAGGGTGATTGACACACACAAAAGAACTAACTAGCAGGCCTGCATTCCAGACTGATGGCTGTCAGAAGACTGGGGGGGGAGGAGGTAAGTTTTTACTGCTCTCCTCGGGAAACAGCAGTCACTTCACTTTTGCCCTGACTCAGGGAGAGTGTGTGTGTGGAAAGGCTCCAAGTTTGCTTTGTTATCAGCCGAGTCATCTGCTTCTGGCCCCGGTTCGCCTCTGTTCTTCTGCGCTCTGTGTTGCCCCCAGCCCAGACTTGCTCAGATTTCATCAGAGAAGCTTGACTCTTCTGCGAAGGAACCTTTGGGGGAGTCCCGGCCCAAGTCAGATGCTGACAGCATGAGTTTGTGGGAAGAGCCCCTTTCTCCCCTTTTCCCCTTCCCCTTCTTGGTGGGAGGGGACATCTCCATTTTTGGCTTCTCCCACGCACCGGCACCCCCATGCGGCAACTGCCAGAGCCCAACAGTGCCCCCTGCCAGCCACCACAGAGAAACTGCAGGTTCTGCACCTCCAGAGATCCAACAATGCCCCCTCCTGATTGTGGTTAGAATTGCGCCAAAAGGCAGAAAGTACCGAACTGTTTCCTTTTTGAAGGGGACTTTTGGGTACAGGATTATTGTTTAGTTGTTTTTGTGTTCTTTCATTGTTCTACCAATACACATATATCCTTTAATAAAGGGTTGTTATTTTTCTTTCTCCATACTTCCTCAATTGGAGCCTCTTAATTTTGGATTTACAATTGCTTAGAGGGAGGAGCTTGGTCTTCCTCATAACTCATTTTCCTTAGCAAAACACTTCAGTCTCATCAGAGACACTAGGGAATCAGGCATTGACAAGGCAATTGGAAGAGGGACGAGAGTGCTTAGTCTCTGGAAGTGACTCCTGTCAAGCATGAAGGAAATCAGCCTGACTGGGAATGAGTGGCAAAAGCACCCCATTGTGAGTGGCCCAGAGGCTCCGTGCATCCTTGGCATAGACTACCTCAGGAGAGGGTAATTTCCTTGAAATTCAAGGACCCAAAAGGGTACCGGATGGGCTTTTGGTACAGCTACCTTGGAGGCAGTTAAGCAGCTGTCTACCTTGCCTGGTCTCTCAATTGACCCTTATGTTGTGGGGCTGCTGAAGGCTGAGGAACAACAGGAGTTGATCTCTACCACAACAGGGCACCAGCAGCACTATCGCAACAACTGAGACTCCCTGATTCCCATCCATGAGTTCATTCATCAACTGAGGAGGCAAGGAGTGATAAGTAGGACCTGCTCACCCTTTAATAGTCCCATATGGTCAGTGCAAAAGTCTAATGGAGAGTGGAGACTAACAGTAGACGATCATGGCTTGAATGAAGTTCTGCCACTGCTGAACTTCACTATTTATACCTTTTAGCAAAAAAAGTCATTAATGTTCATTGGTTACAAGTTACATAGTTCTCTCATTAATTAGTATTCTACCTTCTATTAGTTAAATGATTCTATCATTTCTTCTGCTAATTAGTCCACATGTGCAGTCTTCTTCTTCTTTTGAGTCCATGGATTTCTTGAGTTGGTGGGCCATAAGTTGGTGATTGTGATCTCCCCCTGCCAGAATTATCCTTTATCTAGTTTGATGAGTTGACCTTCTTTGTTCCTCACAATATGGTCTTATCTTGGTTTTTTCACAACGTCCTTGTTTTGTTTGTTCAGGATTCCGTTGTGCCTGGTTTCAGTTGATATATTATCTCAAGTTTCTTCTTTCTATTCTCTCTGTCTAGTTGCAGTTACTGAGGCTTACTAAAGCTGCAATTACTGAGACATGTTAAGCATAAATTATATATATGGAAGCCATACATCAATAGTGCTGTGCTTTGTATTGGTAGCTAGAAAGGTGTTGATAACATACCAGTGTTTTGGCTACTGCTAAACAATGTTTGCACAACATCAAGGCCGCTCTCTTCCACATTTCCCTTCCCCCCTCATCCCCAAAGGCCAGAAGGCTGGGAGTGGGCAAGATCTTGACAGGGGACATAGTCAGGACAGCTGACCCAAACTGATGAAAGGGATAATACATACCATATGACATCTGCTCAGCAACAAAAGCTAAGAGAAAGGAGAAGGAATGGAGGGGACATTCATTATTAAGAAGTTTGTCATCCAGAGCAACCACTGCCCTACTTCCAGGGAAGTGGTTGGACATCACTTGATGATAAGAAGTAGAGAATAAATCTTTTGTTTTCCTCCCAGAGCAATAGTTATGCATGCTGAAGCCCTGCTTCCTGGGATGGATATCGCTTGCTGATGGGAAGTAGAGAATAAAATCTTTTGCTTTTTTCTTTTCTTCCACATGCATGACCTTTTATTTTATTAAACTGCCTTTATCTTGACCCACAAGTTCTTTTCCATTTTATTTTCAAAGAATCATTACAGTTGGAAAAGACCTCCAAGATCACTGAGTCCAACCTTTGACCAAACATCACCATCCCAACTAAACCATAGCACTAAGTGCCACGTCCAGTCATTTCTTAAACACTTCCAGGAATGGTGAAACCTCCACCTCCCTAGGCAGCCCTTTCCAATGCTTAACCATCCTTTCAGTTACAATCAGTAACTCTTCAGGGGTTATTTTTCACTGAGTTGTGAGAAAAAATTTCTGCCCTTTGGATTCTCTTTGATGACTGTGTGACACTCTACAGAGGTAAAAAGCAGAAGTGACTTAGTTCAGTCTGCTCTACAGGGCTATGCTGGGAGAGGGATCCAGCACAAGTCACCCAATACAAGATTAAGAGATTATGGGTCATACCATAGACATTTTCAGCAGTTGGCATCTACTGTGGAAACTTCCCCAGATAGCCACAGTTCAGTGACTAGTTCGTTTGTTGTTAGCAAGGAAACTATGTGTAAGTGGTATGACAACAAGGGGTTGTGGGATGATTAGTGTTGTAATTAACCCAGAAGTAGTTGGCATTACTGCAGTCCCAGGATCTGAGCACTTGTTCAAGCCAATCCATTTCTGAGCTCTGCTTCTCTGCTTTTGTTTTCTCTCCTCCTTTTCTCCTCCCCTTCACTGGAGTACTCAAGTAGTTGGATGTGTGTCCAAGCCCTCCCAATCCTCAAAGTCATCCCTCTCCCTGTCAGACACTCAATTCTCTTCTCAATTTATGCCAATAAGGAGTAATTCTACCAAAGTTAGTAGAGTTAAATTAATTAAGAAATCTTGGTGTAAGTGAACAGAATAAACCTCTTCAAAGCTTTCATTGAACATCTATCAATACAGCCCATCTGTTTCATGCTGCTCATAAACTCACTTTAAATAACAAGCTAGCCAGGTGTTTAATGGCTTTGGCGGGGTGGGGGTGGTGGTGGTTTTCTCTTTCTCTCGGCACTGGATCTTCCCCGCGTTTGGAGAGTGGTTATGGAGAGACAGCTCCACGTTTTTTTTTCTTTCCACTGCCGCTTCCACTTGCTATCGTCGCTTCGGAAAGTTCAGAACGCTTAATGTAAGGGTCCAGGAACTTCGTTTATTGTAGATTGACAGCAGCTTAATATACACTCCATAATAGGCTCATGAATATTACAGAAATTAGGCTCATTATTGGCCCACAGTTAGGTGGTGATATCATCTTAACTGTCTTCCATTGTTTACACAGGTGGTGTGTTAAGTGCTTTTGTTTTGCTAATGCCAAGCTCCTGTTTTTCAGCTCAATTTAGAATACCCAAGGACACTGCTGCTTTCTCACAGTCTGCTATCTCATACCTTCTCACGGCCTAGCTAGAGGCCTGCGTCTTATACTTTAGCAGCTCATCCATGGCTTTAGCCATGTCCATATGTCCACACATTTCTAACCAATTCTCTACAAATTCCCCCGTTTTTATTTTGGGCCAATAATGCTTTCTTTGTCGTAGTATTTACACGTTTAGCAATACAAGAAAAGGCAACATGAGCTATTACTAAGATTACAATAACTGTCAACACCCATCGTAGGCTTTCCTTAATACAACTTAGAGCCTATTCAGACATAGAACCAAAGATAGATTGCAGCCACGAGTCTATAGGACTAGTTGTTACTGTGTCACCACAAATAAGAAACACACCTGATAGAAGAACACGTGCAGTGCTGTTAACCTAAATGCCTGGAGAGGAAGGCCCCACCCCAGCTCTGTGGAGAATATGAACATTTGCATATGAAGAGACACTTCTTTGCAGAAACTGTCATGCTTTAAAAGCACTGTGTTATGTGAACAAACAAATGCAAACAGAGAGAAGGTGGTACCCCAAATATTCAGATGATTAAAGCCAGAATTGGACTTCTTTTAGCTTAAATAAACTAATTTTCTTTCTCTGAATATCCATAAAGTGTGCTTTTATTTTATTCAACCTGCATTGTTAAGCACTAAATGAATGACAATGAATCAAGAGGAATGCACTGGACCTATCTCACTACTGTGCACATATCGGCCAATGCCAGTTTCCTGCCCTGGCTGCCACCACCACTAGCACCAGAATAGTCCCCCGTATCCCTGCAATCAAACCCTGGGGTACGCGAAGCGACACCAGTCCAGTCGGACAAGTCGCGGCCCCGACAAACACCTAACCCAGACTAAAACAATCCCAACACAAAACAGGTCCGAGTCTCACTACTACCTGCGTCACCTACAGACAGTGATCCCACTAAATCTAACTCTCGGGGATCTCAGGGCAAGGAGGTGCCGAGAGTCCCTACAAGGCAGGTAGATGCATCAGAAACAACCACTTCACTCTCACACGACGATGAAACCCAACCAGTAAACGCCAAGCTCAACCTATACACTGAACTAAAAAGCACGCCAAACAAACAAGTGCGAAAAGGATCCGAGGCAGATGCCAAAGACAAACAGAAGGACGATCGACCTGCTCGATCCACTTAAGCAACCTACACGTTTCCCCGAGGATCAGTGGTGTGAAGAGCTTCAACTGTGGCAATCATGCCCTATGAAAAGAAGAAAACTCATTACACAGCTGCTCCCAATTTTGCAGGAATACAATCCGATGATAGGGAATCTCAACATCTTTACCACACCAATATGCAAAACACCTGATCGAGACTGGGCGAGCACACCCGCACTGCCACACAGCACCCCCCACCGCTCCAATGCAACTCAATGCTGTTCCACTGTTTCACTCAGGCTCTACAGTTCTTTTGTGTACAGGCTAGGCAATTTGTGCCAGCTGGGCCCTTCCAACTGCTCACTCTGCCTTTGCTTCACAGGCTCCACCGGGGAGCTGAAGCCCAATCACCAACTCTGCAACATCGTGGAGAACTTTGCCTGACCTGCAAGGCCTCTGCTTCTCTGTGCCAAGCTCACCTGAGCAAGCACAGCACAAAGAACACTCAGAAAGACTGGTGGAGCCCTGTGGTGCCCAGGTTTTGGCTGAGAGGAGATGCCCCCAGCACGGCAAGTTGCTGGAATGCTACTGCAAGAAGGACAAGGCCTGCATTTGCATGCTATGCTCTGCCCTCAACTCCCACAGGGACTACAAGACCACCAGTCTAGAGGAGGCCTCTGGCCAAGCACAGCGTGCCTTTCTCGAATCTCCAAAAGAGGTGAAAAACCATGAAGCTGCACCGGATCGAAGTACAGGAAACGTCCTGGAACAATCCTCCTCAAAGGAGTCCTTTAGAGTACAAACAACGCTTGACTAACCATGACTACACTAAGCTCTCTGAGATCATGCAACAGTTTTCACTTCACAGATTTCACAAACACAAGGGTAATTAAAGGATTCTGAGACCGGTTCAATGTAATCAACATCACAATCTTAACGCTTGGAATGACTACAGAATGACTATAGAAGTTTGTTTGGACAATTAACAGCAAGCTTTGAGCATCACAAAGAGTACAGGTTGCTTTCGCACAACCCTAAACATTCACTAGTTAAATTATGCAAGCAATACGTTTGGCACGAAACAAGCAGCAGCCACAAGCAACGAGGCCACCCCGGGCAGGGCATGCCCCAAGGCGGAGAGACCAGCCGCCTCAAAACGAACATTGCCATCAACTGTTGCACGGGAGGGGTTTTGAAGACAATATATAAGGACTCTTTAAAACAACGCTCCAGCCCCGGTCACACCGATCAACTCAACTGGTCTGCTCTGGCCTCCAGCCAGGAGGCCCGAAGACACACCATCTACAAAGCTGCAGATGTCCTTGAGAAGGCACGCAGGACAGCCCTGACAACCTGCAAGGCTCCCCTGCAACAAGCAACGCAGCAACACTGACAACTCCCGATCCAAATCCTGGAAAACACAGAAAAACTCAAAACGACCCTCACCACTGCCACGGCAGATGCAAATGCAATTATTCGATGGTCTAAGGACCCCGCCCCGGCACAAGCCCGCACCATCTCCAGTCAGTCATGCAATCAGCAGCCTCCGCAGCTTTCACAAAACCTGTTTCTCCATAGCGTCTCGCAACCCTTCCACGAACTGCAAGAATGGTCCTCGGGCACCCGGACGCACAGCGGCGCATCCCGCCCCGAGCTCCGCCAACCCCGCAGTCCGCACTAATGTCCGCCGGCCCATGGTTTCCACTCGCTCCAAATCTAGTGGTTTCCCGCGCAGCCTGCACAGCTAAGGAATGATAACAGTGGAAAAACTCCACCTGAGACTTAACTTGCATAAACTTCATACAAGGCTGTAATAGAATACCAAATTGGTGTAAGAACCTCTTATTTAACTTCAGTCTAGATCATATGCTTAGTCAGACAGGGCTAGTCTTGAAATAACTAAAACTTCACCAGTTTTCATAAGAGTGGAATTATTCATGGTGGGAATTTAAAGAATTCATATACCATCCAGAATAAGGATTCACTATGGTTCAACAGAATCATGTTACACATTTCTGAAATCTTGATACCGTCAGAAAGTATTTTTAAGTTCACACAGTCACACATTCATGTAGCTTTTCTCTTTCACACAGCATTCAGGTGGCCACCTCAAACACTCTTCACTCACACACACATTTTCAAGTAGTCATTGGTTGCGCGCTTCTTATCAGTTTCATAATTCAAAGGAAATCTATGGCATAGCCACTAACAGCAATCTGCAAATCTTGCATAACTCTCTATGTAAAAGACAAATGCAGCAAGAAAGAACAGGATATTATCTTGAAAATTTTCAACCCTTCTTATAGAGCAATAATATTCTGTCATAAAGGCAACAGAACCACTTCTGCAGGGGGCAGAACTATATCCCCCTTTGTCTCATCGTTCCGTCTGCAAACTTTCCACCCGCACTCCGCTCCTGGGGGAAACAGCCAAATTTCATGTAAGAAAAGCAAAATCGCAAACTATAGGAAATTCTTAACAACTTTCTGCAATATATAAAAAGCTAAGCACAGATGTTGAATGCCATGAGCACGCTGCATGCATAACACCTATTGCTGTAAAAACAGTGCAATCTTATTTGAGTTATAAATTGGGGTATTGTTAATCTTAAATTGTTTTTTTTCCTTTTTCCCTTTTTACCATGTTTTACCATCTTTGCCCCCCTCACGCCCCTCATTGCCGAAGGACAAAGGAGGAGGAGGAGGGGCCGGGCTCACCTAGAGAAAATCAGCAGAAGGAACTTAACCTAATCACAGGGTCTGCTTAAGAAAAGACAAAAACATAGGAGAGGGAGAAAACAGCTGCAAACAGGCACGTTTCAGAGAGGGGGTGACTGGTGTAGCGAGGAAAAAGGAGAAACAGCTCCCCCCTCCCCCGACTGCACCCCCCGAAGCCCTCGCTACTCTAAGAAGAGGAGCGGCACTAGGGAGAAAACATTCGCTGTAAAGAAAGGGAGAGGAACCTAGACCTCTTGGGACCATGGCTGTCAGCAGTGCGGGGGAAGCAGAGCCCCCCCGCTGCCCGCCGCGCCCGGGGCCGCCGGTGTGCACGCGCGCGGGCGCACCGCTCCGAGCCGGGGCCGCGCACGGCGCCGCGACCACTGCCACTGCCCCGCGACCACCGCCACTGCCCCGCCGCCCGGCACCGCCCCGGGGGCACTCAGCACGGCGGCGCAAGCACTCAGCGCCGTGAACACAGCCACAAATGCGCGGCGCAGTCCCGCAGCACAGTTCAGATGAAAAACTGGAAATGTCTTAAGGTGGGACTCAGTCATAGTGTTCGCAAAGTTCATCCCCGGTCCATCAGCAGTACTTTCACTCCGCAGCCGTCGTCCCCGATCGTCCTGGACATGCACTGCCGAGACGCTAGCACCGCGTT